CGTCCTGGGCTCAAGTGATCCTCCCACATCAGTTTCCCAAGTAACTGGGACTGTAAGCACACACCACCATGCCTGGCTATGGTTCACAGATTCTTATCCATAATTCTGAAAACCTAGATACTCTGGGCACACAAAATTTTTGGCATAGATCGGGCATGGTGGCTCATGCCTGTAATCCCAGCACTTTAGGAGGGTGAGGTAGGTAGATCACCTGAGGCCAGGAGTTCAAGACCAGCCTGGCCAACATGGTGAAACCCTGTCTTCATTAAAAATACAAAAATTAGCAGGACATGGTTGCAGGCACCTGTAATCCCAGCTACTCAGGAGGCTGAGGCAGGAGAAACACTTGAACGCAGAAAGCAGAGGTTGCAGTGAGCTGCAATTGTACCACTGCACTCCAGCCTGGGCAACAAGAGTAAGACTCTGTCTTAAAAAAAAAAAATTGGCATAAATCTGGTACCAAAACTTATTGGTAACTAACTTCACTAGAAGTGATGTGAGTCTATTTATATTAATGATGACACCTATATGATATTTGTGAATTTTCTCTGATGAAATATTAATATATTTCTCTGCTGAAATAATATGCTGGATTACGGATATTAATATGCTCTATATACACCATAAGGGGTTTTAGGTAGTAACACATTATATGCACTCTATTGAATGTGTGTATGTACATGTGTGTGTGTGTGTGTGTGTGTGTATGTGTGTGTTAAAACAATAAACCATCATAACCCTTGAGATTTATACCAGGAACACATGTATGAATCAATGTGGGCAGCAGTGTGTTGGAATTGGCTCAGAATGGGTCACATGGGTCAATGGACAGCATCTCTTCCCAACCTACCCTCAGTGCTAACATGCTGGGTAGCTTGAATCATCCACAGCACAAGTATTTACACCACCGGAATTGGCAAATGCTACAAATTTGGGACACTCTTTTTTTCCATTGGCCAGTATTTTCTTGAACATTGGGAAATCTTTTAAATGAAACTCACTGTCTGTAGGTAAAAGAAAGAAAAATAGTACATGTTCATCTCCAAAGAATCCAGATCATTGTTTGATGAAATCTTTTTTTTTTTTTTTTTTGAGATGAAGTGTCGCTCTGTTGCCCAAGCTGGAGTGTAGTGGCGTCATCTCGGCTCACTGCAACCTCCACCTCTCAGTTCAAGCAATTCTTTTGCCTCAACCTACCAAGTGGCTGGGATTATGGGCGCATGCCAACATGTCTGGCTAATTTTTGTTTTTTTAGTAAAAACGGGGTTTCACCATGTTGGCCAGGCTGGTCTCAAACTCCTTACCTCAGGCGATCCGCCCACCTCAGCCTCCCAAAGTGCTGGGATTACAGGCATGAGCCACAGCACCCAGCCATTGTTTGATGAAATCTTTATCTATTTCTGATATAAAAGCTTAGTAAATTAGTAGTGGGAGGATATTTTTATCGTCCAGTGGGGGCAGTATAGCCCAGATAAAGGCAAAGGCTCAGAAGTTTTATTGCCTGTGTTTAAATTCTGATTCCTCCACTTTCTGTTTTTTTTTTTTTTTTTTAATGGGTTCTCTGAGCCTAAGCTTTCTCCTATGCATATGAAATAATCATAGTTCCTACTCCTGAAGGCTATCTGGAGGAATTAAGTGAAATAATTCCTGTAAAGTGCTTAGAAAAATGCCTGGCAAATATTAGTAGTAAGAACCTAGTAAATGGTAGCTACTGCTATGAATTGTTAAAAATAGGAAAGCATTGTATCTTCTTGGTAATAATCGGTTCTAACTCAATCATTGTATCATGTTTGACAAGGAGGCCAGGCGAGGTGGCTTATGCTTGTAATGCCAGCACCTTGGGAGGCTGAGGTGGGCAGATCGCTTGAGGTCAGGAGTTTGAGACCAGCCTGGGCAACATGGTGAAACCCCGTCTCTACAAAAAATGCAAAAATTAGCCAGGAGTGGTGGTGTGTGCCTATAGTCACAGCTACCTGGGAGGCTGAGACAGGAGTATCACTTGAACTTGGGAGGCGGAGGTTACAGTGAGCTGATATCATGTCACTGCACTCTAGCCTGGGTGACAGACTAACACTCTGTCTCAAAATAAAAATAAAAATAAATAACAAGGGAAAACAAGCTTTCTTGTTATAATTAAGGAAGTAACATGTCATTATTAGAATTCCCGAGGTTGTCAGCTAACATTTAGATGTCCTGAGCATCACAGTATAGCATGCACACACAAACACACAAAGAAAAAGTAGTATTAAGAGAAAAGAGGGCCAGACACAGTGGTTCATGCCTGTAATCCGAACACTGTGGGAAGCCGAGGCAGGTGGATCACCTGAGGTCAGGAGTTCGAGACCTACCTGGCCAACTTTGTAAAACCCTGCCTCTACTAATAATACAAAAAAAAAAAAAATTAGCTGGGCATGGTAGCACACGCCTGTAATCGCAGCTACCCTGGAGGCTGAGGCAGGAGAATTGCTTGAACTCAGGAGGCAGAGGTTGCAGTGAGCCAAGATTGTGCCACTGCACTCCAGCCTGGTCAACAAAAGCAAAAATTTCCTCTCAAAGAGAGAGAGAGAGAGAGAGAGAGAGGGCTCAAATAATTTTTAACCTATTTGCCGTAGAAAACCCTAGCTGAAAAACTATTCAAGTTAATAGGAATTTAGGAAGATAACAAGGACAAAGTAAATACTTAAATATTAATAGCTTTCTGCTGGACTACCCATAATCATAAAATATAATGGGGAAATACACTATTTTATAATAGCAACCCAAAATATGTATAATCTAGGAATAAAATTAATAATAATTGTATAGGACTTATGTGAATGATATCACAAAATTTTAAGGAATATAAGAAACTAAACAAATAAATATTCCTGGTTGGAAAGAATATTTTGAAGCTATCACTACGAAACAGACAAAAGGAGAGATGGATTAAAAAGAGAAGAACAGAAAATCCTTAAGTAGACCCAAATATAGATAACTATTTGGTATTTATAAATGTACAACTTTAAATCAGAATGCAGATAGCTACTTATTCAATAAGTGGGTCTTGGACAACTGAGTAATCATTTGGAAAAAAATAAGTTTGACCTTCACTTCAACCCATACAACCAAACAAATACCATATGGATATTTAAAAAAAAAAAGTTAAGTGTAGAAAATTGGCAAAAACACACTGCTAAAAGAATATTTACCAAAGGTATAAATCACAACAAAAAAGGCTGATTAATTTGACTAGATAGAATTTTTAAGGGGACCAGAAACCATTTTCAAAATATTGAATAAGAAGAGAAAAACAAGAAAACAATATTTGAAACATATTTTTCAAAGGACGCTTTATATGTAAGAAGTCTTAGAAATCAGGCCTAGAGTGGTGGCTCACACTTGTAGTCCCAGCGTTTTAGGAGGCCAAGGTGGGGGGATCACTTGATGTCAGGAGTTCAAGACCAGCCTGGCCAACATGGCAAAACTTGTTTCTACTAAAAATATAAAAGTTAGCCAGGCACGCTGGACTGTGCCTGTAATTCCAGCTACTCAGGAGGCTGAGGCAGGAGAATAGCTTGAACCAGCCTTTCTTGTTTCCTCATTTCCAAACTCCACAAGCCTGAGACAGAAAGAGCATGCACTTTAGATTGACTACCTTGAGATTCGTATCTTGGCTCTTCCACTTTTCAGCTCTGTGACTGTGACTAGGAATCATGCTACATCTCTCAGAGTCTGTTTCCTCACTGTATTGTTGGAGGAATGATAGTAATGGATGAAACACTGAATCATGTGCCTGGCACATCACTGTTGCATTACTGTTGCTATTCCTACCCACCATCATCACCACCACTACCATGATCACCACCATCATTACTGTCACCATCTCCATCACCATCATCACCACCACCAATATCACCATCATTGTCATCACCATCATCACCACCATCATTATTACCATCACCATCACCATCATTGTCATCACCATCGTCATTACCACCATCATCATCGTTACCATTACCGTCTCCATCACCATCATTGTCATCACCACCATCATTACCACCATCATCATTACCGTCAACATCACCATCTCTATCACTATAATCATCACCACCGACTTAATATCACCATCATTGTCCTCACCATCATCATCACCACCATCACCATCATTACCATTACCATCTCCAACACCATCATTACCATCCATATCACCATCATTATCATCACCATCATCATCACCACCATCATCATTGCTGTCACCATCACCATCTCCATCACTATAATCATCATCAACATTAATATCACCATCATCATCACCACATCATCATTACCATCACATCTCCATACTATAATCATCACCAACATTAATATCACCATCATTGTCATCACCATCATCATCATCATTACCATTACCATCTCCATCACCATCATCACCACCATCATCATCTTTATCATTATGATCACCATCATCATCTCCATTATCATCATCACCATTATCATCGCCACCATCATCAACATCATCGTATCACCCTTGTCATCTCCCTTGCCATTATCACCAACATCGCCACCATCAATATCACCGTCATTGTCATCACCTTCATCACCACCATCATCATTACCATCACCATCACCATCTCCATCACTATAATCATCAACATCACCAACATTAATATCACCATCATTGTCATCACCACCATCATCATCACCATCATCATTACCATCACCATCTCCATCACTATAATCACCAACATCACCACCATCAATAGTACCATCATTGCCATCACCATCATTATCATTACTATCACCGTCATCATCTCCATCACCACCATCACCAGTATCATCACCATTAACACCATCATCATTGTCACCATCCTCACTACTACCACCATTATAATCATCATCAATATCAGCATCACTATCATCACCATCTTTATGATGGTGGCAGTGATCATCATTATGGTGGTGATGACAGTGAGGGTGACATCATTATTACCACCACCATCATCATAATCATTATCACCACTATGCTTACTACTATCATCATCACCATCAACTTCTTCATCATCACCATCATCATCATCACTCTCATAATCATCAGTATCATCACCATCACCATTATCACCATCACCATCACCAACATCATTCTCATAATGATCATTAGTGTTGCTGTTACTATGTTCTATCTTTAATTTCATACTGATCCAGTTTGTGATAAGGTGGCACACTAGTGTGGGCTGCTAGGTTCCTCCCTACAAAACCGACACAGGAGACACTACAGAAGAGAGACTCAAGTAAGGCATTGAGGGATTAATATAAAAACTATGAGAAACGCTGCTGGTGAACAGGTGTGTGTGTTTGGTGGGGGGTCACAGAAGATCACAGGACAGGAGGGAGGTAGGCAGAAGGAGATTTACATTCTGTTTGTGCTTTCCCCCTTTGTTGTCCTCAGAGGGTCAGTGTCTGATTTTGTTAAGAAGTAGAATCTACCTCTCAGTCCTTGAATCTGGGCTGGTTTTGTGATTTTATGAATTGATTTGACAGGTAGGCCCTGGCGTTGTATGAATGACAACCTGGGTGATAGGAAAGGATAATTGGGGAGGGAGAGAGGCAGAGAGAGATGGATAGATTGAATTATAGATAGATGGATACATAGAGAGATGATAGATAGATGATTGATTGATTGATAGATAGATAGATAGATAGATAGATAGATAGATAGATAGCCAGGCACAGTGGCCCATCCCTGTCATCTCAGCACTTTGGGAGGCTAAAGTGGGAGAATCCCTTGAGTCCAGGAGTTTGAGACCAGTCTAGGCAACATAGTGAGAACCTGTCTCTATAAAAAATAAAACATTTGACCAGGCACAGTGGCTCACGCCTGTAATCCCAGTACTTTAGGAGGCCAAGATGGGCAGATCATGAGGTCAGGAGTTTGAGACCAGCCTGGCCAACATGGTAAAAGCTGTCTCTACTAAAAATACAACAAAATTAGCTGGGTGTGGTGGCAGGTGCTTGTAATCCCAGCTACTCTGGAGGCTGAGGCAGGAGAATCACTTGAACCTGGGGCCATTGCACTCCAGCCTGGGTGACAAGAGCCAGACTCTGTTTCTATATAATTAGCACACCCAGTGAATAGATCAAACAAAGGTGGCACAGATGTTAAGCAACTTTTCCACATGAGTGGTAAGTAGTGGAACTTGGACCAGGTGTGGTGGCTAACACCTGTAAGCACTTTGGGAGGCTGATCAGGGTGGATCATGAGGTCAGGAGTTCGAGAGCAGCCTGGCCAACATGGTGAAACCCGTCTCTAATAAAAATACAAAAAAAATTAGCTGGGTATGGTGGCAGGCATCTGTAATTCCAGCTACTAGGGAGGCTGAGGCAGGAGAATCGCTTGAAACCAGGAGGTGGAGGCTGCAGTGAGCCGAGATCATGCCATTGCCCTCCAGCCTGGGCAACAAGAGCCAGACTCTGTTTCAAAAAACTCGTATGTATAATTATTCAAATAATTATATGTATAATATATATATATTTACTCTGGGTTTGCTCTGAATTAAGAATTCATATATATATATATATATATATAAAATACAGATAATATAGATCTATATATATTGAGTGCACACACACCAGACACTGTTCTCTAAGCACTTTACATGGGTTTGCTCTGAATTAAGAATTATTCTCATCGGCCAGCACAGTGACTCATGCCTGTAATCCCAATTCTTTGGAAGATATAACATTATCTATATATAGATATCGCCATCATTGTCATCACCATCATCATGACCACCATCATCACCATCACCAGTACCATCTCCATCACCACCATCACCATCATCACCACCATCAATATCACCATCATCATCACCATCACCAATACCATCTCCTCACCACCAACACCACCACCATCACCATCACCACCACCATCAATATGGCCATTCAGAGCAAACTTATGTAAAGTATATATTATATATTGTATCTATATTACATATGTTATATATTATATATCTATATATAGATATATAGGCTATTTTATAATATATTATACATATATATTATATATCATATATACATAATATACAATATACAATATATCTATATATATATTTTACATATATATAATTATCATACCCAGTGAATAAATGACACAGAGGAAGCACAGATGTTAAGCAACTTTCCCACACGAGTAGTAGGTAGTGGAGCATGGAACATAACTGGAAATGAACTAACAGGTTCCTGTTTGCACAAGCTTCCACTCCAGCTGCAGACAGAGAACAACGAATAAAGCCCAGTAACAATGAATAAGTCAAAAAGCGTCGTGAATAGAATAAAGAAAATCATGGGGTGGGGGGCAGGTGGAGGGAGGCCTGCGCCTGCCTGGGTTGACTTGTCACTTGAAGTCCAGAGAATGAGAAGGAGTCAACCAGGCATGACAGTTCACACATGTAATCCCAGCACTTTGGGAGGCTGAGGCGGGTGGATCACAAGATCAGGGGTTCAAGACCAGCCTGGCCAAGATGGTGAAACCTTGTCTCTACTTAAAATACAAAAAATTAGCTGAGCATGGTGGCGAGCACCTGTAATCCCAGCTGCTTGGGAGGCTGGTGCAGGAGAATCTCTTGAAGCTGGGAGGTAGAGGTTGCAGTAGCTGAGATCGTGCCATTGCACTCACTTCAGCCTGGGCAACAGAGTGAAACTCCATCTCAAAAGAGAGAGAGAGAGAGAGAGAGAGAGAGAGAGAGAGAGAGAGAAGGGGATATCATGAAGATCTGGGAAGCAGAGGGGGAGACTGGAAGGGAGAATACCAAGCAGGGGGAACAGCATGTGCAAAGTCCCTGAGGCTAGAGAGAGGTCTGTCTGAAGGACGGAAAAGCAGCCTGTGCATTTGATTTGTTGGGAGGAAGATAAAAAGCAGCATTCATAACTTCTCAGTCCTGGGCCTGGCACCCAGCCCACACTGACTAAATGTGACAATTGTTAGGACTTCATTCTAAGAGGTGGGTGCCCCCATAGCTGCCCCTGGGGGCTGAGCTTTGGGAAGTCCCCTGGCCTTCAGACGTGGCTATGGAACAGGCGTCTGCCATGGGAACCTCTCCCAGGTCTGGCTCAGGAAAGTCCTGCGTGGGAAGGTCCCAACCGGTCAGCGAGTCATTCTTCCTCACGTCCTCAAACACAGCCCTCGGGTCACCCCCATCTACCTTCCAGGAAGAGGGCTGGAGACTCAGCACCCCTCCCATTCCCCTAAGAAACCTCTGTCAGATGACAGCTGATTGCTTTTTTTTTTTTTTTTTAAACACAATAGTCGCACTGGAGAAGGAAACACCTAAAAAAAGAAAGAACTCAAAAGTCATTTTTATCCAAAATATATGTATGTATTGACCATATATTCTATGCACACTGCAATGCCTGTTGCTCAAGGCAGGGGTCTCAGAAACTGAGAGGCCAGTGCGGTGGCTCATGGTTGTAATCCCAGCACTTTAGAAGGCCAAGGCGGGTGGATCACTTGAGGTTGGGAGTTCGAGACCAGCCTGGCTAACATGGTGAAACCCCATCTCTACTAAAAATACAAAAATTACCCACATGTGGTGGTGCACACCTATAATCCCAGCTTCTTGGAGGCTGAAGTGGGAGGATCTCTTGAGCCCAGGAGGCAGAGGCTGCAGTGAGCTGAGATCATGTCATTGCACTCCAGCCTGGGCGACAGAATGAGACCCTGTCTTAAAAAATAATAATAAATAAAAAAAGAAACTGAGGCCACTTATATTTTAATGGATGTTTGTGCCAACTAGGGGCAGAAACCCCTGAATGGTGGAGCAAAGGCATTTAAACTGAACTCCCCGCTGTGGGATGCATAACCCTGGCTATGTGGCTGGGAAAGGCTACTCTGGTTGAACAGAAAATATGACTGCAATTCTGTCTGATTTTCCTAGGAAGTGGAATCTACCTCTCAGCCCTTGAATCTGGGCTGGTTTTGTGATTTTATGAATTGGTTTGACTGGTAGAACTTGGCGGTGTGTGGATGACAACCTGGGAGATAGGAAAGGAGTGTCGGGGAGGGAGAGGCAGAGAGAGAGATGGTTAGATAGAATTACAGCCAGATGAATGACAGATAGATAGATAGATAGATCTATCAGGGACAATTTCATGGAAGAGAATTGGAAGGTGTAGTTTCAGGATGATTCAAGCATATTACATTTATCGTGCAATTTATTTCTAATTTTTTTTTGGTGTGGGGGACAGAGTCTCACTCTGTCACCCAACTGAAGTACAGCGGCATGATCTTGGCTCACTGCAACCTCTACCTCCCGGGTTCAAGCGATTCTCCTGCCCCAGTCTCCTGAGTGGCTGAGATTACAGGTGCCCACCACCATGCCCAGCTAATTTTTGTATTTTTACTAGAGACGGGATTTCACCATGTTGGTCAGGCTGGTCTTGAACTCCTGACCTCATTATCTGCGAGTCTCAGCCTCCCAAAGTGCTGGGATTACAGGCGTGAACCACCGCACCTGGCCATGCATTTTATTTCTATTATTACTATGATGTAATATAGAATGAAATTATTATACAACTAGGCCTGGCCCAAGGCGGTTTATGCCTGTAATCCCAGCACTGTGGGAGGCCGAGGCGGGTAGATCTCTGGAGGCCAGGAGTGTGAGAACAGCCTAGCCAACATGGTAAAACCCCATCTCTACTAAAAAAAGTATATATATATATATATATATATATATATATATATACATATATATATATGTATGTATGTATACACACACACACACACACACACACAAATTAGCTAGACACAGTGGCGCAAGCCTGTAGTTCCAGCTGCTCCAGAGACTGAGGTGGGAGAATCGCTTGAACCCTGGAGGTGGAGGTTGCAGTGAGCTGAGACTGTGTCACTGCACTCCAGTCTGGGTGACAGAGTGAGACCCTGTCTGAAAAATAAATAAATAAATAACATAAAGACAACTCAGAAAATAAAATGGGGAAGATGTGGAGGGGAGCAGAGAGATTGAGAGAGGCGAAGACCCTTGAGGAGGTGCTGTGTGAGCAGAAACTAAATTAAGAAGGAGCCAGACATGCCCCCAGGGTGACATCCTCACACCTGTCCGGATGACCCAGACATGGGCTCTCAGCCCCCACCACCAACCTGGGCTTCCTAAGCCCTCTCCTGCTGACACCTGGCAGGGTGCTGAGCCCATGAGTGCATGGGAAGAGAGGTGCCCACGGCCATGACCCCTTGCCCGCCTGCTGGACACCCTGCCCCTTCCTCTGGGATTTCCAGATGCTCTGGCACAGTGCTACCTGGAGGAAAAGGAAAAGCGTCAGCCCGGGGCAGCCTCTGTCTTGTGAGCCAGCTGCTGGGATGAGAGACCTCCTTCCCAGCCCTCTCCCTTCCAGGGCAAGCAGAGGAGCAGCTGGAAAGTTCCAGGCTCAGGAAATGCAAATTGATGAATGGAGGGAAGTGGACAGGGACGCTACACCCATAGACTGCTGGGAACTGAGGCTGTCAGTCCAAAGTGCTGACCCTGGAGCATGTCCCAGATCCTGTCTAGCTAGGGAAGCAGGCTGAGAGCTGGGTGGCATCCTTACTCCCCATCCTCCCATATCTAAACAAAGTCCAGCTCATCTTGCCTCTCGAATTCCCCCTAGAGTCACCCACTCTTCTCCCTCCTATACCTGAGCCTCTGTCCTATCTTCCTGAGTGACAGCACTGCCACCTTGCCAGCTTCCAGGATGATACCCTCTATCCATTCTGTCCATTCCCAGTTAGAAACAAAGGTCAGGTTTTGCCTCCTCTCTGCATAAAACCTCCCATGGCTCTCCATTGCCTTGGGGATGAAACCTAAAGCTATGCCATTGGACCAAGACACAACGGCCTCTGTCTCTAGCTTCCCCCATCATAGCCACTTTCCCTCTTGGTTCTCCTTGATGTGGATGGGTACAATCACCTGTGGCCCTGTGCCTGTCCCAGGTCCCTCATGTCCTTCAGGTATCTCCTGGGCACTGCTTCCCAAGGAAGCCTCCTTGGACTTCCAAGTCTGCGGCTCGGGGGCTGCTCCCCTGGGCTCCACTATCACACCTGCCACAGTGCTTTGTGCTTGTTGAAGAATGCAGTGACGGGAAGGGAATGGCTGGGGCATAGCCCTGTGTCCCCTGATGTGTCTTCTGCAGGTGCAAGTGGTGGGGAGAGGTTGTCCACTGCACCGTCTGCACGAGTCCAGGTCAATGGCAGAAGCAGGCAGGGTTAGCAATACGGATGCCCGGCCCCTCAGCCAGCGTGGTTAACACAGCTTCCCAGAGGCTGTCTTGACATGCCGTCAACAAAGCAGATGTTCTTTTTTTTCTTTTTCAGTGCAAAGTAAAAATGAGTGTATTAAGAAAATAAAGTGGTGAAAGTACAGCTACTCCATAGACAGAAAAGGACGTTCCTGGAAGTGGGAGGAACACATCGGCCCTAGGTACAATGCTCATATGCATGGGGAGATGTGCTGTGCTACAAACGTTTGTGATAAAGAATTAATGTTCTTAATTACTATATTTTATAAGAATCCACATTCTTATCTTCTTTTTATCTTTATCTTTTTCTTTTTTTAGTAGACTTTAAGTTCTGGAGTACATGTGCAGACCGTGCAGATTTGTTACACACGTACACACTTGCCATGGTGGTTTGCTGCATCCATCCCCCCATCCCCAACTTTAGGTATTTCTCTTAATGTTATCCCTCCCCAATCCCCTCCTAGCCCTCCCCCAGCACCCCCCACCCCCAACAGGCCCCAGTGTGTGATGTTCCCCTCCCTGGGTTTATGTGTTCTCACCCATTGTACCACACCCATTTAACTAAAGCAGATGTTCTAAGGGGTTCCACACGCTGCAGCCTCTGGGGCACAGTGTGCCATAGACCTTTGCCTCACTGAGCCTTAGCTTCCTCATCTACAGAATGGGGCCAGTAGGTCCGATGGGACTTTCCTCCCTGGATGGTTGCAAAGATTGTATGAGATTAAATAAACCACATAGAAAGTGCTCAGAGAGGGGTGATCCTCTTTTATGATTCATAACCAGCACCAGAAGCCAAGTCAGGACACATCTTGCCGTTGGAAGTACGTAAAGTAATGACGCTGTGCTTCTGTGGGCATCTCTTTATGAGAACGTTCAGTTCTTGGGTTATATTAAGATGCGGCTTTCCTGTTGGAGCCTCTAAAGTCCCTTGTGGTTGCTCTGGGGTCCAACAAGCTGATGAGGAAAAGAAAGGACCCAGCCTGCTCTCCAACCCCATATTACTATCAGAATTGAGGAACCAGCCCCTGGGGATACAGAGGCTACCACAGAGTCCCTGAATAGGCTTGCCACATTTAACAGATAAATGTATAAGACATCCAGGTTCCTATATTTGATCTGACAACCCTATTTCTGAGTCCACAAGTGGCGAGGTATTCTCATTTGTCTGAATAAGTAACATCTCCTGCGTATACATAAATCCATTTTTCTTTTTCTTTTGCAATAAGATCTCATTCTATCATCCAGGCTGGAGTGCAGTGGTGCAGTCATAGCTCACTGCAGCCTCTACCTCCCAGGCCTGAAGGATCCTCCCATCACAGTCTCCTGAGTAGCTAGGTCAACAGGTGGATTCTACCACACCTCGCTAATTTCTAAACTTTTGTAGAGACAGGATCTTATTATGTCTCCCAGGCTGATCTTGAATTCTCAGGCGAAAGTGATTCTCCTGCCTCAGCCCCTCAAAGTACTGGGATCACAAGCATGAGCTACTGTGCCCAGCCTAATTAGCTAACCTAAGCTTTTTGCCTACACACACACACACACACACACACACACACACACACACACACACACGGAGAGAGAAAGAGAAAGAGAGAGAGATAACTGAGAGGACCAAAAGAAGGATAAAGAATAGTCCAGAGAGAGCTCCAAGATGGCTGATCACTAGCAGCTTGGGATTGTAGCTCCCAGTGAAAGCACAAAGAACGAGAGGACGCCACACCTTCACATGAATTCTTGTTGCTCACACACCAGGAGATTCCCAGCGGAGGAGCCCCACGGGTCGCCAGTGCGACTCTTGTGACCGGCGAGGCAGTTTTGCCGGCACCTCAGAGCGTCGGTTCTTGGTGCAGAGTCAGAAAAGCACCAACAATCTTAACGCCTCTGATTTAGTCGGCGCAGTGGGTTGCTCAGATTTCAGCGCTGAGAATCAATAAGTTGGATGTCCACTCGGAAACCCAATTACAAAGACAGTAATTATAAAGACCACAGATGGATAAATCTATAACGAAGGGAAGAAAACAGTCAAAAAAAGGCTGAGAATACCCAAGATCAGAACGCCTCTCCCTCAGCAGGGGATCCCAGTTCCTCATCAGCAACGAAACAAGGCTTGATGGAGAACGAGTGTGTTCCAATTACAGAAGCAGGCTTCAAAATGTGGATAATAAGAAACTTCTGTGAATTAAAAGAACTTGTTCTGCACCGGGCGCGGTGGCTCAAGCCTGTAATCCCAGCACTTTGGGAGGCCGAGGCGGGTGGATCACGAGGTCGAGAGATCGAGACCATCCTGGTCAACATGGTGAAACCCCGTCTCTACTAAAAGTGCAAAAAATTAGCTGGGCATGGTGGCGCGTGCCTGTAATCGCAGCTACTCAGGAGGCTGAGGCAGGAGAATTACCTGAGCCCAGGAGGCGGAGGTTGCGGTGAGCCGAGATCGCGCCATTGCACTCCAGCCTGGGTAACAAGGGCGAAACTCCGTCTCAAAAAAAAAAAAAAAAAAAAAAAAAAGAACTTGTTCTAACACAATCTAAAGAAACTAGGAACTTTGAAAAAAGATTTGATGAAATATTAACAAGAATACACAATTTAGAGAGGAATATAAGTGAATTGATGGAGCTGAAAAACACGAGAACTTCGTGAAGTATGCACAAGTTTTAACAGCCGAATTGATCAAGCAGAAGAAAGGATATCAGAGGTCGAAGACCAACTCAATGAAATAAAACTAGAAGACAAGATTAGAGAAAAAAGAATAAAAAGGAACGAGCAAAGTCTCCAAGAAATATGGGACTATGTGAAAAGACCTAATCTACACTTGATAGGTGTACCTGAACGTGACGAAGAGAATGAATCCAAGCTGGAAAATATGCTTCAGGATATTATTCAGGAAAATTTTCCCAACCTAGTAAGGCAGGATAATATTCAACTCCAGGTAATTCAGAGAACACCACAGAGATATTCCTCAAGAAGAGCAACTCCAAGACACATAATCGTCAGATTCACCAGGGTTGAAATGAAGGAGAAAATCCTAAGGGCAGCCAGAGATAAAGGTCAGGTTACCCACAAAGGGAAGCCTATCAAACTTACAGCAGATCTCTCAGCAGAAACCCTACAAGCCAGAAGAGAGTGGGGACCAATATTCAACATCCTTAAAGAAAAGAACTTTCAACCAAGAATTTCACAACCAGCCAAACTAAGCTTCATAAGTGAAGGAAAAATAAAGTTTTTTTGTGAACAAGCAAGCACTCAGAGATTTCATCACCACCAGGCCTGCTTTACAAGACCTACTGAAAGAACCACTACACATAGAAAGGAACAAACAGTATCAGCCTTTCTAAAAAATACCAAAAAGTAAAGAGCATCAATATAATGAAGAATTTACATCAACTAATGGACAAAACAGCCAGCTAATATTAAATGGCAGTATTAAACTCACATATATCATTATTAATTCTAAATTTAAATTGACTAAATCCCCCAATTCAAAGACAGACAGCCAATTTGGATAAAAAACTAAAACTCATCAGTATGCTGCATCCAGACCCATCTCACATTCAAGGATACACAAAGACTCAAAACAAGGGATGGAGAGAGACTTACCAACCAAACAGAGAGCAAAAATAAATAAATAACAAGCAGAAGTTACAATTTTTGCCTCTGATAAAATAGTCTTTAAAGCAACAAAGATCAAAAGAAGCAAAGAAGGACATTATATATTGATAAAAGAATCAACGCAACAACAAGAAGAGTTAAAGATCCTAAATATATACGCACCCAATACAGGAATACCCAGACATACAAGAGTAATAAAGAGACTTAGACTCCCACACAATAATAGTGGGAGACTTCAACATTAATATTAGACAGATCAATGAGACAGAAAATTAACAACGATATCCAGGACTTGAACTCAGATCTGGAACAAGTAAACGAAATTAACATTTATAGAACTCTCCACTTTACACAAAATATGCACTCTTATCAGTACCACATCATATCAACTTAGAAGTTTAAACGAAATGTTGGTTGGCTCCTTGTTTGTTATTCTCTTCCCTCATTTTCTTTCATGTCTCCATTATTAAGGACAATTACAGGCATACCCATATTTAGACTGCATTCTAGCCCGGGCAACAAAGCAATACCCCCATTATCTCTCCCTCTCCCTCTTTCTCTTTCTTCCTCTTCTTTATTCTTTTTCTTATTATTCTTTTTTTCTTTCTAAAACAAAAATAAAAACAAAAACCTACCTACCAGTAGAAAATATAGGGGGAAATTATATATGTGTGTATGTTTATAGAGTTATATATGTATACACACACACATATATACTCACATATATATATATTTTTTATCCTGTAATCAGAAGCCCTTTTGAAATAAAATAAAATAAAAAAAGAAGAAGAATAGTCCAGCCAGGTGTTGTGTCTCATGCCTGTAATCCCGGCACTTTGGGAGGCTGAGGTGGGCAGATCACCTGAGGTCAGGAGTTCGAGACCAGTCTGACCAAAATGTTGAAACTCTGTCTCTACTAAAAATACAAAAATTAGTTGGACATGGTGGTGCGTGCCTGTAATCCAAGCTACTGGGAGGTTGAGGTGGGAGAACTGCTTGAGCCTGGGACGTGGAGGCACTGCCCTCCAGCCTGGGTGACAGAATGAGACTCTCTCAAAAAAGAAAGAAGAAGAAGAAAAGGAAGGAGAAGAAGAAGGAGAAGGAGAAAGCGAAGGAGAAGGAGAAGGGGAAGGAGAAGGGGAAGGAGAAGGGGAAGGAGGAGGAGGAGTAAGAGGAGGAGGGGAAGGAGGGGGAAGAGGGGGAGGAGGAGGAGAAGGAGAGTCCGGTAGAGGTAACTGCAAGGGCAAAAGTTTTGAAGCTGGAAAAAGTTTAGCAAAGAAGCCATGAGAAAACCTGGGTGGTGCCTACGTGGGTCACATCCTGTGCTGAGCTCTTCACCTGCATCATCTCATCTAATCCTAGGAGATGGGAATGTTGTCACACTCCAGAGGAGAGAATTGCGGCAGCTTCCCCAACAGAACACACCACACATAATTGGCAAAACCAGGAGTTGAACCCAGACTCCCTATACTCTCACCCCCTGCAGACCCTATTGCCCACCTTCTCCATCCAAGGATATTAAAAGTCACAGTGGCAATCATGTGATGCATCTTCAAAGTTTTCTGATGTTAATAAAGGGGCCCCAACGCAATGAGAGACCACTACCAATTAGAATGGCTGAAATAAGAAAATGACAATACTAAGTCATGGAGCAACTGGAACTCTCAAACATTGCTGATGGGAATGCAAAATGGTGCAATCTTTGTAAAAAACAGTTAAAATGGGCCAGGCGCAGTGGCTCATGCCTGTAATCCCAGCACTTTGGGAGGCCAAGGTGGGAGGATCACCTGAGGTTGGGAGTTCGAGACCAGCCTGACCAACATGGAGAAACCCCATCTCTACAAAAAATACAAAATTAACCAGGCATGATGGCTCATGCCTGTAATCTTAGCTACTTGAGAGGCAGAGGCAGGAGAATTGCTTGAACCTGGGAGGCAGAGGTTGTGGTGAGCCAAGATTGTGCCATTGCACTCCACGCTGGGCAACAAAAGCAAAACTCTGCCTCAAAAAATAATAATAATAACTAGACAAAATTTTAAAAATAAAATGAAATGAAAGAAGACATTGATCTGCACAGCAACATGGATGAATCCCAAATGCATTAGGCAAAGTCAAAGAAGTCGGCTTTTAAAAAATGATTATTCCATTTATGTGATATTGTGGAAAAGATAAACCTATAGGGACAAAGATGAAATTCATGACCATCAATGGTAGGGAAAAAGGCCTGTAATCTCAGCACTTGGGGAGGCTGAGGCGGGCAGATCACTTGTGGCCAAGAGTTCAAGACCAGCCTGGCCAACATGGTGAAACCCAGTCTCTACTAAAAAATACAACACTTAGCTGGGCGTGGTGGTGTGTACCTGTAGTCCCAGCTACTTGGGAGGCTGAGAGGCTGAGGCAGGAGAATCTCTGGAACCCAGGAGGCAGAGGCTGCAGTGAGCCACAATCCTGCTACTCCACTCCAGCCTGGGATACAGAGACACTCTATCTCAAAAAAAAAAAAAAAGAAGCCAGGCATGGTGGCTCACATCTGTAATCCCAGCACTTTGAGAGGCTGAGGCGGGTGGATCATGAGGTTGGGAATTCAAGACTAGCCTGGCCAAGGTGATGAAACCCTGTCTCTACTAAAAATACAAAAAAAAATAATAATAATAGTTGGGCATGGTGGCATTCACCTGTAATCCCAGCTACTGGGGAGGATGAGGCAGAGAATTGCTTGAACCCAGGAGGCAGAGGTTGCAGTGAGCCGAGATCACGCCACTGCACTCCAGTCTGGGCGACAGAGCAAGACTCCGTCTCAAAAAAAAAAAAAAAAAAAGAAAAGAAAAGAAAAGAAAAAGATAGGGAAAGAGGATTCCTACAAAAGAGCACAACAGAGTTTGTGGGGGCAATGCTACTGCTGTAGATGTTGTTGATTGCAATGGTGGTTACATGGCTGTATGGATTCGTTAAAACTCCCAGAACAGTACACTAAAAAGAATGAATATACTATGTGCAAATCATATCTCAATTTGTAAAAAATCAAAAGAAGAGGAAGCTCAAGGTGGCTCATGCCGGTAATCTCAACACTTTGGGAGGCCAAAGTGGGCACATCACTTGAGTGCAGCCTGGGCAACATAGACAGACCCCTTCTCTACAAAAACTAATAATAATAATAATAATAATAATTAATGTTTTAGAAAACAAGATGAAGCTTTAGACTCACTTTAGACTCACTGTAGATAATGAGACTCTACTTCAGGGGTCCCCAGGCTTTTTACACAGGGGGCCAGTTCACTGTCCCTCAGACCGT